CAGTTTGTTCGATGCAACATGGTCAAATATTAGTCTTACATATTACATAAAAATTATTCAATAGATTTTTAAACAAATTACGTACGTTTCAAAGAATTTTAAATGCTACTAATTTTTCTTTGAAAATTGTTTAGGTACCTGATGAAACAAAGTCGTGTTTGAAATTTTAGTAGGTACCGAGTTACATTAGTGACTTAAATCTTATATAATACTTAACAGACTGGTAATATAACTATTTTAACAATTAATTCTAAATTTAGTACTTACTCAGAATTATAAACATTTTTCATGAGAAAAAAAAAAAGAGAAAAAAAATTACTTGGTTCATAATATTTGGACTAATGAAATTTCAACAAATCCGACATTTTTCTCCTAATGTAGTTTTTAACTGAATACATCAACATTAACAGTCAATGTCCACTTTACGATTTTTTATCCCTCTTAATGTGATTGATTTTTTTTTTTGTCAGGAATTTGTGATGATAGTTATTAGAAAATATTGTATTTTAAGACTGTGATAAATTTGTTTAAAACAAAATATAGATAATAAATGCAAAAATGTTATTCTTGAGTTTTAATATAAACTATGTAGAGAAAAAGTATTAAAATTAAGATAAATATATCCAATTTTTTTTTTAATTTAAATGAATTTTATGTTTTAGAACATAATTATAGTGTTAATTTAATAAATATGAAGAAAGAAAGAAAATGAGCAATTTTAAATTATCACAGTTTGTTAAAAAGTAAATAAAAATCACAGTATGTTATAAAAATCATTTTTTTTTTCAAAATAATCTTTTAAATTTCTTTCTACTATTGTGTAAAATTGTATAAGCTAGGAATGTTAAGCTTAAATTGAAAAATAAAACTTAAGTTAATAAAAATCATCAACGCCTTCCCTTTTTTTTCTTATCTTTTTTTTTATCATGTTTCTTTTTCTTTTTTCTTCGACTATTGTGGACAATATCTGTTTCTTGATCTTCTGGTTCAGTCATAGAAGGTTGTATAGTTCCACTCAAAAAGCAAGTTGTAGAAATATTATTTTTATTAGGGTCCAGAAGTGAAATATTATTAGCAGTAGTATCAGCAGGAGAAATATTATTAACTGTAGTGTCAGTTGTGGACATTTTATTAGCCTTAATGTCAGTTGTTTTAATATTAGAATTTTTAACAGTTTTATAGATAGTAGTTGCAGTACTCGAGACTGTCATAGTGTCTGTAGTTTTAGTAGTTGCAATTGAAGTAGTACTGTTGTACCTATGGCGGTTTGAGATCATCATTAAGTTATGAGCAGCATTTACTGCTTCTAAACTATCATCTAACAAAGCATGCTCAGGTACAGCAGTAGCGACCGTTTCAACCAATGACGGTATACTGCAATCTGATGATGGTGAATGAGGCACAGAGTTAATTGATAAACTTGGAGAACAAAATGGCACAGAATTATCTGATGGCATATTTACAGGTGAGCCATAGTATGAATTTGTCGAAGAATTTGGAAACTGAGCACTAGGAACTTGAAGATATGCCTGGGGAAATTCTGTATACATTTGTCCATCAGAATAATAACGAGACATATGATTATGTTTTAGGCCTCTATCATTCAAAGTAGAACATGAGTCCAGAGAGATCCCATGTGATGTTGTAGGAAAATTGCTTAAAACGGGTTGATGAGAAGAACTGGTTAGATTTCCAATTGATGATTGACGTGATGTACTAGGTGAATTCTCTGCAGCAGCTTGACGTGATGGGTTAGATATATTTTCATGGACATATTTTAAAGACTGGCTAGTTAAATTTAGGTTCATTGATTGATATGAAGGACTAAGAGAATTTTTTACAAAATACCTATTTAGTTCATTAGGGAAATGTTCTTCATCACATTGGTGTGAAGTAGCTAATAAGTTTTGGTTGGGTGGGTGGTATGATGAATTAGACAATTCTTCCAATACATGTTTTGGTATTACTTTATTAGGTATTTGTAAATATTGATAAGAATGAAGATGTAAGTCTTTAATAAAACATTTATGTCCTATTTCAAGTTTTTTTTTACATTCAGAATTCAAAGATTTATTACTATCATCAGAATCAGAATAACTTTCACATGCATTTCGTAAATTTTGTGAATTGATTTTCACATCTTTATTTAATGGAAAAATAATTGTGAAAGCATGTTTAAAACGTTTTATATGTCTTTCCATATCGTCTATCATCTGAGAAATCGACTGTTTTTCAACATCTTCTGCTGAAGTAAAACGCTGTGCCAAATGTTTTTTCCAACTCAACGATATTTGTGTATTAGTTGGTTGTTCATTTTCACAATTGTCTTCTTCAATACTTGGCTTTTTTCCTTCAACATATGTATGCAACATTTCTTGATTTTGGTTTAATTTAGAATCAAAATCCCCACAAATGTCACATAGGCACCGTTTAGTCAACTGTTCTAATACAGGTATATTAGGCCATGTTCTTGGGTTCGAAGTTAATAACTGTTTATACTTATACTGAATATTGAAACGAAAGTCATCAAATGGTACAGTGAACTCATGACGTAGCATTTCTGCATTGGAAGGTATAACACGGAAATGATGGCTATTGGTACATTTCGGATACATACATAAAAATAACTTACCGCTATTGAATAAGTAGTGAGCTGCTTCAAAACCATCAATGCCTAGTGATGTGCTTGATTCTTTACTTTGACTTGGTATTTTAGAATTTCTATACATTTCTAGATGCTCAGTTGGTTCTGTTCTTGAATTATTCTCAAAACTGTGAACTGCTCTGGATTGAATTTGTGTTTTTTCATCAATGGATTCAGATCCAGATTGAATGGTAGGTGAAAGATGATCTGGTGCAATGAAATTTGATAAATCTTGGAACTGTTGGTTTGGCTGAATTAAAGTGCTGTTGTTTATTCTATCGTTAAATGACAAACCAGTGCTCTGGTTTGGAATTTCATTTGGTGACAATTTTTGATTTAATTCATCATCAGTATATTTATACAAAATATTTGAATTTCTTTTATAATCCTGACTTTGAGAAACTTCTAAAAGTTGTCCATTTGAAGAAGTTTGACTTTTGGTTTTATTTAAAGGCCACTTATAATGAACTTTACAATTTTTACTTGACTGTAGCATTAAATGTGTCATATTCATTATTGACTGTTCTTCTTTTTGATTTGGATCTTCCAACAAACTTGGCCCAAGTATCTGGTCATAACTTGAATATTGTAAACCACCATTATGTGGTGATATGCATTCTGAATTTTTATGTTGTAGTCTAAGAGGAGGGTTTTCGTATCTAATAGATGTGTTACTATCAGATCTTGGGTACTTATACATAAGTCCATTATTCATAATTGGCGAATTTTGATTAAGAACCCCATCATAGCCATTAATTAACGTCTGTTTTACATTTGGATCATTATCAGTTGATTGTAACATAGGATGAATATATTTATCATTTGAACACATGTTTACACAATTTCTCTGTGTATTTTTAAAATGAATTAGATTAGGATCTTCTATATTTCCATGATTTGTCATGTCTAAATCTGATGAAACTCTGAAATCAGTAATTGGACTATAATAAACTTGAGGGGGACTTTTATTTCCTAAAAACACCTTTTGTACATGTGCTTCATTCAAATTAATTGGTATTACCGACTGTGCGTTCAAGCTAATTGGCACTGAAATCATTTCTGTTGGATCTGTATATATTTTTAATTTTTGTTTTTGATGATGGTTACTTGTGTCAGACGGATTTTTAATGGTAGACCAATTACCACACTTTTCAAAACTATTAAGTGTATTAATTGATTTCAAGTCAGTTGATATAAGACTAGACATGGATAAATTATTTATACTCAAATTATTATCTTTGGGTTCAGCACTGTTAATTCGTAAATCCATTGAGTCGACGTCGCTAAAGTCATCCGAACCCACATCTATAACATTATGCTTGTCTTTATTACTTGATGAACCTCGTTCCATAATATTCATATCAGTTGGTCTAGATTTATTCATTGCAAAATTATAAGAAGGTTGTTGATCAATAATAGATTTTTTCTTTAACCCATTAAAACACATGTTTATAGAACTACTGTGATATATGCTACTATTTGAATCATTTAATTCATGTGCTACATCTTTTGGAGACACAGTAACAGGGATAGGTTTGACAGTAACTGCCATAGGTATTCGATTTACATCATATGCAGAACCATATGCTGAATTTGAAACTGAACTTTCACTAGGAGACAGAGCAGCTGTATATGAATCTTCAGGGAATATTCTTGATTCAATTCGATTATAAGAACATGGCCTAGAAATAGTTGGAGTTTCCAACTGCATATTATTTAAAAGTTCAACTTCACTATTTCGATTAGTAACCAGGCTGGTGTTAATGTTAATTGAATTACATAAACCATTTAATTGTTGTAAAGAAGACTGAGAATGATCACAGTCAATATCATTATGAGCATGTACCAATGAAATATCAGGGACCCATGAACTCTTATTCATAGGGATATCAGTTGAGTTAATAGAAACAGGAGATAACACATTCACTACTTCTAAATCTCGTGTATTCGAATTTATAGCGTTTTCAACATAAGGATGTTCTACGTGAGATAATTTCTGGTCCATAGGCAAAGCATAAATTTGAGTATTTTCATTTTCTTCATTGATAGACCGCCTGGATGAAACTAAGTTTGAAATACTTTCTTCTGAGTTTCTAAGAGATAATAAATGTTCAGTCTTTGGACTATTGTTGCCTTCAGTATCAGAGCTTGTAGGTTCAATTTCCATTTGCTCAGAATTATCAATTGTTTGTTTAGGTTCTGGAGAATATGGATCAGAATGAGACAACTTTATAGGCCACTGTATGTCACTAGAAGGAGAAGCAGTACCATCCTGATCACTACTTAGATCAATCATTTTAGTACAATTTTCTATGCTTTCGTCCTTGTCACTGATAGTAAAATTACTTTGTGTGTGTTTCAAATTTAAGACTGCTGTTATCGATAATTCAGGGTGTGATGCTTTTGTCACCCATTTGTTTTCTTCAACTGAAGATTCGTTCATTAGACGAGGAACTCCATTTATGTTTCGAGAAGTCTTTGGATTTTCAAGTACAGAGTTGTCATTATTTAAAGTAACACAACTACTATTCTCAATATTCGAGTTTTGGCAATTGGAATCAATGATTTGATTTGGGCTGCAGTTTGATACATTTTTATCATGCTTGGACTTAGTTCGGCAAATTTTTTTGCTTTTACTATTTTCACCAAATGATGAACATTGATTTCTTTTTGGTCCCTTAGAATAAGCACATTCGGTGTGATGAGAAGTACTTGCACTTTCAGAAATGTAACTCAATTCACATGGATTATTAGATAATGTAGGATCTAATCTGTTGTCATCCCCATATAATACATGTTTTTCAGATAATTTTGATTTCTTCACATTGACTTGCATTTCATCTTCATTTGATTGTGGTTTTACATTATCTGGGCATGATTCAAGAGTAACCATTAATGTTTTTAATGTATCAACAGGAGATTTATCATTTTCATCACTTTTATCATTATTGCTTTCATCAATTATTTCATTAGTTGATGAATTTATAAGATTAGTTTTTTCCATACATTTTTTATCAGAATGTGAAGAAATTTCTTTATCCCGGACCGAATGATTTTCTGAACCTTCTCCACTGTGCTTTACCTTACTCAAATCATCATTGATTGGAACAACACGAACTTCATCGGTTTCATCATCAATTTCAAGACATTCATACTTACTTGGGGTATACAAATTATACTTGATTTTTCTCATCAAGCTATTACAGGAACGTGTAGTTGGTATAAGTGGTTTTAGAGTTTCATCAAAATGTTCATTCTGCAAAAAAAAAAAAAAATATCAAGATTATAAATACATAGATTATATTATGTCATAGCCACTTCGTGAAATCAAACTTTTCATGAAAAGATGACCATTTCTCGAAAAGAAAATGGATATTTTACACTTCGTGAATTTTGAAAATACATCACAAAATGGTCACTTTTTTATGAAGTGGTCTCACTCCAATTTAACATTGTGTAATTTTTTTTCACAATCTGGTCGTTCACTTTGTGTACTGGAATACAACATTTATTGCACACGTCAAGTTTGATTATATCCATTATTATTTAAGTATACTTATTTATGACTTCTACAATACCATAGATACACTAAACAGTTGTTATTAGAACAAGGGCAATAATAAATTAACGCAATTGTAACAAACCTATTAGTTATTATAAATGTTATTTTCCACGTTTTTAAAATAAGTTACATATGAATGTACAATGTCAATATATGACAAAACTAGGGGCTAGGAAATTTAAAAATCAATCAAATTTATTTACGATTAAAAAAGTTTTAGATAGTAAATAATAATCAACAATATTATTTAAGATCCCAGGAATTAATACTTATACCTTTTGTCTATGTATAACATTAAGGCATTAACAATGTACCTATTGTACCTACTACTTAGTAGTTAGTACCTACTACTTATTACTTAGTAATTATAGACTCCATTTTTTCAGCTGTATACAGTTTTTTACCAAGCTTATCCAAATAACATTTATTCATTTAATGTTAAGACTCAGTTTTTTCATTAAACTCATCCATTATGTTGAGGTACGTAGAATAAAAACCTTTAGAATAGAATGTGATCTAATGTTCCACATAGCAACTATACACTGCTTTAACATCAAGATATTACCAAAATTCTGATATAACATTATGATTATGACTTTTATCAAAACCGATAAATATCATCTACACATTTAAGATAATCTGGATATTAGGCAGGTATAATAGTCATATAGAATACGGATTATTGTATTTGACATCGGCACGTGGTTAATGGATATAATCAAACTATAGACGTGTGCGATAAATGTTGTATTTCAGTACACAAAGTGAACGACCAAATTGTGAAAAAAAATTACACGATGATAAATTGGAGTGAACACTTCATGAAAAAGTGACCATTTTGTGAAATATTTTAGAATTTCACGAAGGGTAAAATATCCGTTACCATTCCATGAAATGGTCATCTTTTCATGAAAAGTTCGATTTCACGAAGTGGCTACGAAATATATATACAAAAGTAAAGAATTAATATTTATTATTATCTTCAACCACCTATCAACATTTGCATAATACCTTATCTTAAAATTAATTAATTTTATTTAATTGGGTAAATTATCGAAAACTAATATTACCTAATTATTGAATGTTGTTACTTTTGTTAAATAAATTAAAGTTATTATTTTTATAATACCTAATATAATATTTAACTTGGATACATTGCCCTGTACTTTTTATGTTAAAAAATATAATAAAAACTTAAAAATTATTTAAAATAATATGATTTTAATTTATTTAGCTGTTTTGAATTTAAAAATACGAAACAATATTATAACCCTTTCAATACACTGAAAATAATAAATAGAAATAAAGGAAATAAGAGCAGATACACAACCAAAATAACATAAGAGAAATGATACAGAACCGTGCATATAAAAGAAGTCCGGAATTATCACATCTGCCAGAATTGGCAGTAGTGATGTCGTTTTTAAATGTAAAGCATATGGAATTTATTGGTTTTTTATTATTATTAATTATTATCTATATGGTAAAACGTATGAATAATTTCTATAGAAGATTTTTTTAAGACAAAATTGTCCTTGATCGATCAACACAATTGTTTTTCAAATTGTAAATACCTATATATCAGTAATAAAATATCAATGCCTACGTGTTATCAAGACTTACAAGAATAAAATATTATAATATATATTAGTGTATTAATCACATAAGAAATATGTATAGGTACTATACTACTGATATATATTTCTAAGTCTAAAGGTTGTATATTCTTGGAAACACATTAATTCGATCAATGACAATTTGGTCTTAAATAACGTTTTATAGTAATGATTCATAAGTTTTAGCTTTTAGATCATAATAATAAAAACCAATAAATTCCATGTAAAAACAACATCACTTTTGTTCGACGTTATTAAAGCTGATGCAATAATTCTGGACTATATTTTTTTCCTCCGGCTTTGTACAGTAGCCTTCCTATAATATTCATGCAACATTCATCACTATCAAAATATAATATCTATGTCAGATACAATATTATTTATTTTAATATTATAAATATAGGTAATTTATAGAGTAGCCAATGCATAGAATAAATGTTCAAATGTTTCCTGATATGTTATCACTTATCACGAGTAACTATTATTTAAGCAAAATTTTAGAAGCTATATAAAAAATAATTTCTTACCCAATTTTTCAAAACTTCTTTTCCTGAAATCGCAAATAAATCTGGTCGTAACGTTTTACACTGTTCTTCAATTGGTTTCAATAGTATTGGAATATCTTTTCTTGAAGCATCCAATATATCCTAAAAGCAATAAGTATTATTAAATCATTTTTGTTTTTGTCTATTTTTATTGACTAGTAGATACTTGTACATACAAACAGAAAAAAATTATTGACCTAACCATAAAAAAATCATTTTTATTTGTTATTTATGTACTGAAAACTAATAGTAGTTTATGTTTAGCATTTTAAAATACTAAATATTGGAATTATTATATGTCTTACCAATCTACAAACCAGAAATTAATTTGCTAAAAAAGGATTGTTATAGATTATCAGTTACATAATTTACTTGTTCAAGCACTACAAGCATCCTAATACTAAACTACATAGTTAAAAAATATAGACAGTTGAATTATTAGACTTTTAATCTACCTTTGTGTTTATTTGCCAATTTAACAATAGTGATTTGTATTTTGATTTCCATTTAAAATTAACAATCAAATCTGACAGTCAATTGACCAAAAATAATTTTCTATATGTACAATTAAAAATATTAAAGAAAAACAGTATGTTGAAATAATTGTTTACATTTATACTATACAAATTAATTAATTGAAAAGGTTATGAATAAATAATAAGAAAATTTAAAATAATTTCATAAATGTTTATTATATTATAATGAATGTCTCTAAGATGCATGATGTAAAAATAATGTGTATTATAAATAGATAGAAATATTTTTAAGCATTGATTAATTTAATGCAACACAAACATTAAATAGCTGTACTGAATGAATATACTATGTTCAGTAAGTTTATACAGCCGAGTCTCGATAACTCAATGTGTCTACCGCTTGAAGTATATAACAGGGTGACTTGCGAGAATTTACCCATTAAGATATCTCCTGAGATAATACATATCATAAATCTGTTTTTTTTTTTTTTTTTATTAGGCTGATAGAGACAAGGACTACATATATTTAATTTCTTAATTTAATTACTTTTTTAATAAAAAAGTGAAAAAATGTAATTTATTTTTTTATTTTTGGAACAATTGATTTATTAAGTTTTTTAGTTAATAGGTAAAACATCAAAAAAACCTGTTTTTGTAGGGGAGGTGAATGGGTATATCCTCATGAGACACCCGGTATAAATCAAAAATTAAACAAGTCATATTTAATTTTTAGTCTCCTTGAGATTCGAGGTATCGAAACTTGACTATGTAAATACTATTTAGTTGCATACTATTTTTCTAATAAGTTTATATCATTTAAATCAAAATTTACCTTGTAACACTCCTTGAGTGATAAATTTGCACCATATAAAACAAAACTAACATTTTTTAAATCTCTTTGAATTGAATCTGGAGTTCCATTTGGAGACATTGTCAATTTAGGCCAGTTAGGCCAATTATATTTTTCATGTTGACTCATAAAATCATTTGGAACATTCAACCCTCTTAATAATAATCTTAAATTTTCCAGTTCTTTTCTCTTAACAGCACCAGCCATACCCGGTGATGAGTGAATTATTTTTTTCCACAATTTAAAACATAAAATATACCGCATATAAGTTAGAAAATTCATTTTTTTGGGCATTGGATGTTCAGATAGTAACTTTCTGTAAATAACACATTTATTAAATCATTAAAAAATTGTTATAAATAAGTATTGATTGAAAATGGTGATTAATAATAAAATACTAACTTAAAAACTGGAAGCATTATTGATCCTAAATTAATACTAACAGAACCATAAAATACATAGTATAATTGAAAAATTGAATCAAACATATAATCAAGTTTCTGATCTAAAAATATAAAAGAAAAGAAATACATTTAAATTATACATAGGTAATACATTTTATACTGATTCATGAATATTAAAATATTAATAAAATAATACTTTATTTTATTCCTTACCTAAAAAAACAAATAACATTGTATTTATTTTACTTGAAGTTCTTTTGTGAGATGAGTTTTCTTTATAACGCCTACAACAGATAATTAAATATTTAAATAGTATAATAAATATAAAGCACATAAATTTATCTTATGAGTATATTTTTTACATTTTTTATAAGTAATAGGAATTTTGTAAGATTTTTTACGTCAATATAACAATATCATAAGGGTTATAACTTATAAGTTATACTTTTACCAATCACAATAAATAATTAAGCTGATTGATACTTATACATTTGAAAATAATCTACAATTTTTTGGTATATTTTCATTTAATAACATTTAAGAGTTGAAAAAGATAATACAAATACTTGGTAGTATTACCTAAATAAGTTATAAGAGACAGATATAATGGAGATCATTAACATATAACACTTGTATCACAAATTCAAAATTGTCTAAACAATTGATTATCTTATTATTGATAGTATTTACTATTTCAATACTTGATAAACAATTTTTTGTACATTAAATATGTTTCTATATATTTTGTATTATACCAGTTTTGACTTTTTTCTTGTGCAATTTAGTATCAAGTATTATAGATCCGACCAGAAATAATTCTACTTTTTATCTTTCCTTTACCTCTTCAAACTAAATGCTATACACCCCTGCAAATATACTTATGTCTGCAGGTGATCCAATTAAAGATTTAGATTTATTTAATACTACCTTATTTAATTTGTCTAATATTTGATCTACTTATCTCTTATTTGACTGATTATTTAAGTTTAAATATCTAAATAGTTATTTAATATTTGATATTTAGTATATTTATGTATATCTTTTTTTTTTTTGTTTTGTTTTGGTCTGTTTTATCTTATTTATACTCACATTACATGTAAACCTTAATATGTGCACTTACCACAAACTGTCATTACACAATATTCATGTAATTGGAAACTTTTTTTCCGTAAATAAAAATTATTATTATTGTTATTATTATTATTATTATTATTATTATCTATATATTATATAAAAAAATAAAAATGTTTGGGACTGACTGTGTCCTTTAGCATTCCCAAACGTTTCATCCGATTGCGATGAAGTTTGGTAATTTGGAGATAGATTAGACCTCAGGGAAGAAGATAGGCTACATTTTGTTGTGAAAGAAAAGGAAAATAAGAGGTTTAACCTGGGGAAGTTCTCAAACAGTTGTTTTGAGATTATTATATTTATTTATAAATGGTTGCTATTGGTTTTATTTAGGTTTAATAATAATTATTAGTATTATTAATGTGAAAAGCCTGTGAATTTTAGAATGTATCAAGTTCAAATCACGGTTTCGGTGGACCAATTTTTTTTGAATTTTTTGATACTTTAGAGTTAAGGTTTAGCGTTAACTTAAACATTTAGGTATGCACCATGGGTCTGCGATCTACGACGGGTAGATTGCCTACCTGTTAATTACTGCTCGCAAAACCACAAAACCCTAGCAATACAAACACATTGCCGTGTCTGCTAGTATATTATATAATTTGAAAATTCAATTAAAATATTTTTGGAGTAGAGGTAGTTTATAATATTTACTTTTTCTTATCCACCAATCATAATATTTATATAAAATCTGTATAACATTCCCTACATTCATACTTGTAAATTATTTAACTTATTGATTCTTCACAGTTTCATTATGAATTGACCTAAACCGCCAAAGAGTATTAAACGGAGTGTAATCGGTTATATGATCTCAAAACTATACATCTCTAATTCCATTAAAAATAATAAAATACATTTTAGATTTTAATGAAATTCATTTTTGGTCCTAAAATTAAATTATTAAGCATTAGAACTTACTGAGATGACATTAATTTCAAATCTATGTAATAGGCCAACATTGAACTCATTCTGTCATAATATACAACATCCAAAGTATCCCTTTTATCCTGCAAATAAATAATAATATATAAATACAAATAAAAACAGTTTTGATCACACATATTTTTCTAAATTTATGACACAGTAAAAGCAAAAATATAATAAATTGTAGTTATTAGTTGTAACAGCTTTTGTTCATAATAAAATGTAATAGGGGGATGACGAGCGGTCTAACGCGTCGGCTGCGGCGCTGCCGGTCGCGGTTTTGATTCTCGACCACCGGGCGGCGTTTTTGTCCGGGCAAGTCACGGTGTCCGGAGAACAAGTGCCGCCATCCCCCACTCCGGGGCACGGCAGAAATCTACGGGTGCCTCATTCGAAATTCTGCCAAAAATACACCCACGTTTAACACACCTACCGTTCCAAAAACCTACAGTACCACCCCCCTCCCAATGGCCTATGTTGCCGCGGGATAATAATAAAAAAAAAAAAAAAAAATGTAATATTTAAGTGATTTCCACAACCGCTATGATGTCGGTCGGTGCCTTACAGACATGCACCAATTTTGGTTAACTTTAATATTAGAGAAGTGAATGAACTATTATCAAACTTAAAGCTAAGAACATTAAAGTGGCGGATATATTCTAGTTCTGATTGGGGGGGGGGGGGGGTTGAAGAATTTCAAATCCACGGAAGTAATGACGTTCAACCCCTCCCATGGGGTGGTCCACATGTGGCGGCGAAAAGCCCAATGGGGGGTCCATCAATTAACCCCCCCCCACGATATCCGCCACTGGAACATTATCTGTGTTTGTATATTGGTAATCACTCAAAGCTTACTTAAAAATAAGTATATAATCTGTGAATTATTATTATATTTTAAATTTTAAGTAAGTTTGTGTGTAAGTGAGTGAGTGTTTGTATACCTTAATATTTTACATAAGTATTCATAACTTGATTTTTTTTTTTTATAAGTTATATACAATCTGTACCAATAGAGGCACAATAAGAATATGGGCTATATTATTTACAATTGACTTGAAAGAGTTGTTGGAAGAAGCCACCCAGTAATGACACTCCTTATTGACAAGACATAACTTGATTAAAAGTGATATATCATAGAAAAACATGCAGTGGCGTATATACAAATTATTTTCACTATGGGCCAATTTATCACTATAGTATAGCCATCGTAAGAACGCTATTCGTTCGCGCATCCAAATGACCGAGCTCCGCAGTTTCGTACCCAAGTTTCTCCCACTCTACCATCTAGTCGCCACCGTAAATAGGCAGTAGTGGCAGCGACAGTAGCGATGGCGGCGACAGTGGCGGCGGCCAGAGTTGACGGTGGCCAGCGTTCGGGAAGGTTTAGTGGTGGGAATGCGCGAGATCGGATGAATTTTGGTCGCCGCCCAGTAGCGTTCTTACGATGGCTATACTATAGTCAGCTAGCGCGACTATAACATAGCCATAACTATACATTTTTTGAGGAGCTGGGTGGTTATAAATACAAATAAAAATTGGACAATTAAATTTTATATTTATTATGTAAATTTCATTTTTAATTCTTTTTTAAAAAAATTTACAATTTCATGCATACATAATATAAATTTTAATGTTATCTTATTGTGAATTTAACACATGCAAGTCATCAAAGCAAGTCCTGGCAATCTAACATTTCCTTGTTGATTCCTCCAAACGATTTTAATCAACTGGCTAAATTAATCATGGTGAAAAACTGTAAACAGTGTAGATATATATGAAATGGTTTAATTGAACCTGCAATTTCACTATGGGCTCTGGCCTAGGGTGCCTCCCCCTATATACGCCACTGAAAACATGTATGACATTCTTATTTTTAAGTTTGTTAATAGATAAATTTACTTTAATATCACACGGGAATGAAAAAGAATAGCATTTTATTAAATTTGAAATGTTTGATACTAATTTCTTCACATAAGAATTTTAGACAAGAAATAGATTTAAAAATAAATCTTTTTTGATACCTATACAAAATAATAAGTTTTTTAAAATATGACTACAAACAGAATATGTATTTACATTACACTGCATTAAGCCTTAAAAATATCAAATAATTAATAAATGACACTATATAATTTTCAATTTTAAAAAGGATAAATTTATTTTTATCAATGAAAAAATATGCATATTTACTTTTTGTATGGTTTTATAGTATCCTCGAAAAAACAACATAGATTGTTCTATATAAGATTTCAGAAGAGTTGATTTATTAATTTTATTTCTGCAATCAACCATTTCTGGTGCTATATTCCTGTAAACAAATTAAAGTGTTATTATAAATAAGTCTAGGTATAGTGAAGTTCGGCGTCGCGGAAGAATGCGAAAGCTGTCCCCGTGACGCCTTCGGTTCAAACAAAAAAAAAAAAAAAAGGTATAGTGAAGTTACTACAACCTTTTTTTTTTATAGATAAACAATTTGCTACAAACAAGGTTGATCAGAATAAATATAAATTTATACGAATAATTCAGCCGACAATATGAAAAACAATTGTTCTGTTTAATAATGTAATTTAATTTGAGAAATTAATTACATCAAATTATGTAATTCATTTTTGTATTACTCAAAGAGTATTGGTTTAAAAATTCAAACTATAAATTAAAAGTCACTTATGGTAATGATAATTTGTGTACCAATATTTTTTAAACATTATTTTAATAAAACCAAACCAGGAATGTTACGTAAATTTGAGTGAAAACTGATCAAACCCTTGATAGCCCAAAAAGTTGAAAAATAACCAAAATAAGTTGTGTTCTTATTTTAGATAATTAATTATAATTAATTAATAATTTGGTAAAATATTAAGTATTACATTAAATTTTTGAAGCACTTTTTCTACTTATAATAGGGCATGCAGCTATACACATAATTTCTAATTAAGAGTGAACTACCCATCCATTTGTTGTATTCGTTTTACTAACATACAACATGGCAAACTTTCATTCACTAGTTTCAATAGTTTGCTGTTAGTTTTGTTCTCGGTTTTGTTATTAGAGTGAATTGACCTATCATCAAACTTTTAGGTAAGAACATTGTCTGTGTTTAAGCGTCAGCGATTTTATCGATGTTTTAATTTTTAGGCGAGATATGGGCATGTGAAATATCACTTACTAAAAATGATAGTATTTTGTTTGAACATTAAAATATTGAATAAATGCTCCAATATTAAAATTAACAGTAGAATTGTAACTAGTGAACAAAAATTTTAAATTATTATGTTGTACGAGTGTAGGATGGAGACAACAAATGCATGGATAGCATCCTCTTAAGTACCTAAGATTAATAAAATTATTTAGGTAGTACTTACAGGCAAAAAAAATTGAATAACCCAAAATAAAGTTCTGTATTAGTAGGGTATGAAATTTTACGGCATTCCAACCGAAAACCAGCTAACCATTTAATAAATGACATTTCCACCAATGTTTCTTGACAATCCACATACTTAGGAAATCTGTCCATAGTTGTTGGTATGTTCTTAGTACTTTCATCGACATCTGAATCAACTACAATAATATATAAAACTATAATGAATACGTGTAAATAGTTAAACAATTGGTATTGTAGCAATAGATATATCATAGGTATTACAGTTAAGAGACAATAAATCATGATTTCACAAAAACATAATGTTAAAGTATCATAAACAGCAAAACATTTTTTTTTATATAATATTTACTAAATAAATAGGTAGGTAGGTATTAGTATAAAATAATGTTTTTGAGTAATCAGGGCCGGATTGGCCCGGTGAGTTACCAAGTAAAACTCGGTGAGCCGTTCAAGTCATGAAGGTCCACTGACTGAACATATGTTAAGAGTTAAAAGTTAAAGAAATGGAGACTATAAAAAAAAAAAAAAAACTACACAGAATAAGAACGTACCCAAGGGCTGCCAGTTTGTAAGTGGGCTGATAAAGTACAAAAAACTCGGTGGGCCGAATTTGTCCAATCCGGCCCTGAGTGTAATGTAAGAAGAAATGGTTTAAATTACTTAGGTATTGGTAGTTAGTCATAATATGTATATAAAAAATAATTAATATTTTTTTTTTCAATAATACATTTAAAAGTTGATCAAATTTCTAAAATTTTTGGATACTGTAGTATACTAGTATTACTTAAATGTTTTTATAAAATATTAAAATTAGTTATCAGTAATTAAATTTATCTCAGAATAATAATGCGTTTATACATTACTAAAATCCTCACTAAAATCATTCACAGAAACAGATTAATTTTAGCTCTAATAATCAATAATTTTCTTAGATGTCAAATATTTAAGTTCAAAATCATTCTAAGTTTTTGGCTAATTTTAAAATTGCTTTTTAAGATTTGATTAGGCACTTTGCATTGGTAAAGTGTGTGATCTACAGGGTCAGCCGTGATCTACTATTAATAGGTAACATATTATAATAGGCCTTTTGTGACACTCTGATAATGTACGATAACGTCGAATAAAAACCGATTAGAGAAATAAATATATCTTATTTCATAGCCTACAGGACACTACGCCTACGACTATTGCCATATGAACATGAAACAGATACTTGCAAAAAATGTGGTAAAAATGTGTGTACAAAAAAAGAGATTAGCATCTGCAGACGTGATAATATAAATCTATCAGGTGCGTTGTAAAAGGGTGTCAAATTTTTAAATCAATTCCATCAATTATTTATTTTTTACCTACATCTTAATTCTTATTGTCATTCAAATCTAAGTTTGGTGGCTTGGAGGGGCGAGTTGGCTGCTACCAGTCGCGGAATATGACTGGAAGTAAGAAACGGCCACAGCTACTAGCTCCTGGATGCGTGACCACCCGGATTCATAGTAGTTAAAAACCTTGCCACACATACACGTGTTTACTACCTACCGTAACAACCTTAAAAACAACCTACCGTACCAACCTTACTCCTACCACAGTTCATAACCCCTATAACAGCTAATGGCCTTAGTCGAGGAGCTTAAGTTCAATAAAAAAAATCTAAGTTTGGGTCAGATATTAGAAGATATTACGTGGAAAACGTTAGTACAATCGGGGACAAATATTACTAGGTGATCGCCGTATTGAACCTAATACAACAGCTAACTCTCATAGTTATGATACCTCGGATTCAAAAAAGAACATCAAACAAGTAAATAACCGTAACTACTGACAATCATTCTAAAAATGTTGTGAATCCCCTTAAATAGGGCTAACACGCAAACAACAGAATGTTTATGGTCAATATTAAAATTTAAAATATTAAGAAAAATGCATGGAACTAATGAAAATCAATGACCACGCCATTTAATTGAATGTTGGTAGCGCTCAATAAAGAATCGGAATAATTTGTTTATACATTTTTTGAAGGATATAAAAAAAGTTTATGTTTCATAAAATTTAATATTGTAACAATTATCATATTTTGACTAATACTGTATAGTATATTTGTTTTGTAGACACAAAAAACTTTAATGTATTAAATATAGTTATTTTTATAATTGAAATACATTTTTATTACATAATATTACATAGTTATTTATAATTTTTAATTTACTAGTTATGTACTGTTTTATCGGTAGATCACAAGCTTTACCAATGCCGATTACTTACATAATCGGTTATCACTTTATAAAATGGTAATTTCACTGCAGAATTAAAGAACTGCAAAGATCTAAAAAAAAATAGATAACTTAAACACAATAACTTTCAGTTGAAAACATATTTTTTTTTTTTTAAATATAGATCAGGGGAGCCATTTGTATCAGTTAAATTGAATTAATTGAAATAGTTAAGTAAAATAAGATAAAATAATTTTATAAATAAAGGGATATACATAGGTATACTTGGATATTAAAGATATAAAAAGAAAATGTATATTAATGAATAATGATTTGATATTTTTCTCAGTGTTATCACTTAAAATATTAATTATTTTTATCCCTAATAGTAAAGTTAGAAACTTGGTTAGAAATAACTCCAACATGGCTAAATTTCAATTTTCATTGTTATAACTGTGGCCTGGTGGTAGAAAAATGTGGCCTGGTTGAGAACAGCTGTTCGAAGGTACTTAAAAGATCATAATTAGGACTTGAAAAATGTAAGTTGTATATTTTATTAGGTGGGTATATTATGCTGCTCTTGATTTATAGCAGACCAACCTAGAAATTATATATTAAATAATAGGTATTACAAATGCATATTTTACATATTTCTTAAATTTTAGAAAAAAATGACTATTTCTTAATATTTTTGAAAAAGTCCATACAAAATATTTTCAAGAAAAAATTTTTTGCATTTTATGTTTCATATTTTAATATAAAACTTCACAAATATCAAAAATATATTTTATTAGGTAGTAAGTATGAAATGTATGTTACATATCCAACATTCCTGTTCGTATATTTATTTTGCATCCAAGCCCTAAATTCATAATATATATAATTTAATTTGATTACTGTACGACGTTTTTTCTGAAAAATAAATTTCACAAAAATCAAAATCCTAAATTGACTTAGGTATTTTATTTGAATAAGTAATTTAAACTGTATAGATAAATGTATAATATAATTATATATTATAATTATTATATAGAATAGTATGTAAGTGGACAAAGTATCATCTAGATCATTAATTCACTGACAAAGTTCCAAAAACAAATAGGATACCTACAGAAATTTCTATAGCTGAACCTGGTCTTTAGTAATAGTGAAATTTGACAAAAAAAATCCAATTTTCAATAGTGGATGCCGCATTAACTTGAAAATACTCAATGTACAAAGAAAAAGTACACAAAAAAAATGTGGGAAAGTCAATTTCAAGTAGACTTAACGACAAATTCAAATCTGTTTTTAGAATTATTATAGCTTCAATAGATAAATTGGAATGTTTAGCAAAAAACACACCTAAAATACTATGTCGCGCGTGTGTTAGACAAAAACAGAAAATCATGGTATCGAATCCCCTTAGTAAAAAAACAAAGAACAATCAAAAATCTAGCATCTAGCTACATAGATTAAACAAATTATAAATAATTATATACATTTTTAACTGCAAAAAAATGTTCAAAAACTGAACTTTTTTATTTAGAATTTACTTCTCAAAGCTTGAAGTAAATCTTATATATTATAGCCTTAGTATTAGGTACTTACAACAAGAATATTTGAAAAAAGTTCAATTTTAAAAATAATGTAGGTACTAGGTTGTAATTTTTAATCAAAGAAAGATTGTTCAGTCTATTTGAAATTTTACCTAATAAAAATATGTTCTTAATTGTTTATAAACCATACTATATACAGGGTGTCCCGTGAGGATTTACTCATTAGCCGTAGAGGGGGACTCGCCGCCCGGACAAAAATCAGATTATTGACGTTTTACTAATAAACTAAAAAAATTATTAAAAATCATGAGATTAATGAAAATAAAATGTTAAAAGCTCAAAATGTTCACAAAAATATACTCTATAGAATGGCTATCTTCAATTTTTTCAAAAATTAAAAAATTAAAAAATAATTTTTTTAACTTTTTTACTAAAAAATTTAATTTAATTAAAAAATAAAATATTTGTAGTGCTTACCTCTGCGAGTCTTAATAAAAAAACATAATTACGATATCTCCATTATTTCAGGAGATATCGCAATGAGTAAATCCTCACGGGACACCCTGTATATAACAATATAAAATTATAAATGACCAATTTAAAAATACTAGTTTAAATCAATTGACCACTGTTAACATCTACTTTAATTCATTATTAAATTGGACTTGGTCCTAATAGGCCCAGAGAAGATAACAAAATAATTTTGCGTTATAATATATTTAGGTTAATATTATAATTTATAATAGATTTAAGTTTAGTAGTATTCTGAATCATCTTTATAATTATTATTATTCAAAACTAGTAATACAATTATTTAAAGTTTTTATAAGCATACAAACAATAAAAAAAACATTAGAAAAAATGTAAAGATGAAACAATATTGCAATTTGCCTACCATAATTTACAATATTTAAAACCAAGGTAGATCAACATTTTTAAAGTTATGGTTTCAAATAAAAATTTGAGCAATTCATTAGGTACCACATTAGGTTGAGTGTATACCTAACGTTCAGAATCTAAAATCAAAAAAATGTAGTGGTAAACTGCAGTTATGCCAAAATAAAAAGTGATGAGACTTCTCACACAATAAGACCAATTGTAAAATAAATTTAGCTTTAAATTATCATGAACTCACAGATTTCCAGAAACTATGCTGGACAGATTATAATGAAATCCCAGATTAGATAAGATTAGTATAAAAAGGAAGGTTCATCAAAATGTTAAATAAGTAATATCAAATTATTATACTTCTTTTTAAAAGAAAATATACCAGTCGGCAACCAATTTATGTCTGGCGGCGCGCATTCAACATCAATTTCCCATTGTTAGCGTGATCACGTGGTTCTCGACGCACCAATTGAATCATTTGACATGCGCAAAAGCGGTATATTCTCTTTTGAAAAGGAGTATAGGCACCTATTAGGTATTTAT